TATAAATATTATGTTGAACGTGTATTTGGCGCGAGACACTAAAGTTTCTCCGCATATTTAATCGTTATAAAAATTATAGCATAGTGTAGAAGCAAAACACTTTCTCTTACTTCTACTACAGTATTTGCGTTATAGCATGGTGCGGGTGACAGCTCACGCCTATGAAGTTTCGTATTTTTTTAGATAAACTGTCATACAGATATTGTTGTACTTCATGGATGGGCACCGCCCACTTACGACAGTGATGTGCCACGCTAAACTATGCCATGCATCATGCCAAACAATCAGAGAATATTAAAAATCGGTTTTGAAATAAATCGAATAAATTATTATTATTATTATTTTGAAATTAATACATAGTATAATCTATACATTGAAGTGTTTGTTTGTATTATCAAAATAATAGCCTTTTACTAAATACATATGACTGTATATACGGTATTTATTACAAAAAGACAAAAACAATTTTTTAAATGTTTGTCTTACTATCTGTTTGTTCCGTTTTGTACTTTTATTTTAGAAAAAAATTAAGATTCCGCTCAAAAAAATTAAAACCTATCAAATCCAATCGTAATAAATACCAAACGGGCGATGTACGGCAACAGCTCTTATGTAACTATTATGTCATAATTTGTATTAAGCTTTAACTTAATTTTACATGCATTGTAGTTCATAAAGAAATATATGTTTCGATTTTAATTTTTATATCAGTAGCTAATCGATAATTTTTGCATTGCTTTGTGTATCGTTAATCGCCTTTTTAAAATCGATTTAAAAATGTTCCATCTCTAGAAACGTCAAAAGCGTAAACTGTCACCCGCACCATGCTATAACGCAAAAACTATAATAAATATTTTTACTCGCATTTACTCCTTAATTCTGAAGGTAGCAATAACTTTTTTTAAGTACACCCGTAACGGCTACTAGTAACGGTCATCTTCACTTCAACACAAGCCCTAACGCATTACCGGTACACATTACGTGCACGTTCTGCTATCGTCAATAGACATAAATCTCTTTTCCGTGCACCTGTGTCTTTCATACCGTATTTGCTGGGCCAGAAAATTCATGCCTTGGGCAACTGAGAAATCATTCAGGTGAGTGTTTTCTAGTGTGAGCGTGTTGGCATAATATATACACAACAGTTTCTTAAAACCAAACTCTGATTATAGTCAGTAGCATAAAATACTTAGCACCAAAGAGTATATTCTTATTAGTTATGTTATATTTATTATACACAGTTGTCTATCAAACACCAAAGTATATAAAAACACAACTATTAAAAATCCCCCCATGTGCAATTAAGAGAGAGATAAAGATCCTAGTGTGGGAGTAACACTTTTAAAATGAGAAAAAGCGGGACCGCAAGAATAAGCATATATTTTAAAAAATAATACCAAGTGTGAGAGTGGATACTCAATAAATTTTCTTATGTATACGATTCATCATTATTACTAATGAAACAATATCAGTGTGTTACGTCCACATAGTACACAATTACAATTCTACTACACCATAATTGATATGTTGGTTGTACGTAAAGTTATAGAAGTAACTATACTCTACTCTACTACTAGAAATTAACTCTACTTGATACTGCATAGAGCAAAATTAGTTAAACAATACTGTGTATACAACGTATTGTTTGTTTTAATGTATGTGGTGAAATGAGGAACATATTTTCTTTAATTAATAGCATATTTATCCAACGAAAAACGACCAACGTACATATTACTTCAACACTTTGTGGCAATTTATGATACTTAGTAGTGCACTTGTAATGAGCTGTAAGAATGTTGATGATTCGAAAAGGACAATGTCCAAAACCGCCCTGTGTAATAAAAGCATCGGACATACACGATAATTAATTTTCTATTTTATTATATTAGTTGCAAATACTTTTATAACACGGACTAGCTGCATGCAAAAATGAACATTAAAAAGTATTATATTCGACTAATAACATTAATCGCCGCCATCTTCGCCAAACATCACGTGGTGTCGAACAAATGATGAGGGATGCCCATTCGACTGTAATCGATTATTGAATTTTTAATGAACTGTTATATATTTTTAATCTGAATTACATTTTAATTTGTTTCGAATAAAGTTGCTAAAAGAAGCTACAATAAAAATATTATATAACCATTTCTTTATATTCTTTTATATTATTCCCTACAAGTATAATTTTAAAAACCTACTATACCTATTGAATGTCATACTCGATTTTGAATAGGTAGTTAGAATATTGCTGAAGAAAAATATTTTGTAATATTTTACGAGGATTTTCTAATGATCGTTTAGACAGGAGTATATTTTACATCTTACTAAACGATAACTTACGAGATTACGACAATTAATTTAAAAAAAAACTGTTATAGTTACTGCATTAATTATAAATGTGTTTTTTTTAAAAAAGAGCAATATTGCAGACCAGATACAGATATTATTATTAATATTGTTACAAGTATGGAAGAAGTAGAGACGTACGTGTTATTATAAGTAAAGTAGGACAGTGTTATGGTATTAATATTATCGTATGACAAAAGGAGATATATACCATGTAGATGGTATACTGTTTGTAACGTACGGCTATAATAAATCTTAGGAAATATTCATAAGTCGTATCGTATTTGGCGCTCCTATTTTTGATGTCACTAAATGGTCATTTGTCAGTCTCTCATGATAAAAATACGATCTCCAAATGGATGCAAATCGAACATACTAGAATCGATTCTCGATTAAATCAAGCATTAACAGATCTATTTTTGATCAATCGCGACATTTTCAAACATGCCTAATATAGACACAGAACATTATTGACGATAACTTACCGTAAATACAAGTAACTGTATAGAAAAATCATGCGCGTATTGCCAAACACCGTACACAAATCCAGACTCCGTGCTACTATTGGGAACTTCAAGTTATAAAAACCCAATAATAATTTGCCCGACCCTGGGATCGAACCCAGAACAGAACAGTTTTTCTGTCTGTCACAAGGAACAGATGTTCCAACTATGCAAAAGTATTTCTTGAATCGTTTGAAATATAGCTAGTTCTTGAATAAGTACGATTCTAGAGGTTTCTGTATCGACATCGGACAAGGATTCTTCAGATCTATATCGATCTGGAAAATCGATTATTTTACTATAAACAATCGATTGAACGATTTCAAATTGACATGCCTACTTTGTACTGTCATCTCTCATTCTGTCAAAGTTACATAGGTTGGCGTCGTTTGCAATTGTAATTGTCTTTGTATATAATTGTATCGGTGTTGTGGTGACTTTCGGGACTATATATTGAACATTACGGCTTGGCTATTTTAACGGACTCTGATTTCTTTCAAGAACGCCTTACCTTGCTGTGATTTTTGAAACTGTGTACCACTCAAACGATAACCTAGCATTCATAAACGGACTTACACATACGCAATGGAAAGTGTATTTTGTGTAAATAGCGGCTCTGCTGGTGGTACAATATTGTTTAAAGATGAACAGAGAAGCAATCGTGCAATATTGCTGTAATTGCATCGTTGTACGCAGAACCATCGGTTGCTGCGCCCATGTTATGACCATTATTTGGTACTTGAGCTTTACGAGACATCCCTGCACAGTTTTTAGACAATATTCTTATTTCCAATTTCGAAAATGAACAATAAACATGAAATTAATCTGTGTTTTATTTCTAATTCAAATATAATAAGTTAATGTACGTGTAAAAACAACTTATACTACCAATTAGGTACTAAGTCGGTAGGGCTGGTTTCATAGTCACGCGTTTGAACAGCGCCGTCCAGACGCACACGCTTGCAATTGTACTAGATAGTAGTCTATAATATTCACGCTGTTCATGCGCGCGCTATTGAAACTTGGTTGATACGCTCGCTGTTCGACGGCATGTCTAGCGGCGTGACTGACAGCCTAAATCCTTATACATTTAGGTACTAGCTATCTTACCGTACCGTATATGCTAATGACAACATCTAAATGCTAACAGCCATTATATACATATATTTTTATTTTTACATTAATACACACAAACATTATTTCTCATTTCAAAACCAATGCTCAGAAAGCAGGTTTGTTAACTACATTCTATGCATTTATACGTTGCACTTACATACACTTAGGCTTTACAAAAATTGCATACCTAATTATGTAGATAGGTACTAGAAATAGCTAAATGTTTTAGGACATCGTTTTTCAGTTTGTTAAAAATCACTCGGATCTATGAAAAACCGTAATATTCATGGTTCGATTATAACCTCAAAATCTGATACTTTTTTGAAATATATCTATTATGCAGCTAGTCCGCTATAAAAATAAGATCAAATAGGAATTTACTAATGTCAATTTACTAATCAACAATAAAATACATAATTTTCCGATGCTCTTGGTTCCAGGGCGAACAATGTATGGGCGCAGAGCAACGTCCTTTAGATGATTAAGTTATAAGAAATCGATGTGCTCCATAATTTTTATCACAATTATTTGTTAAGTGTTTAAAGAAAAATCGAACTTCTTAAAACGGAAATACCGTATCTAGAGTAATAAGTACGCAGTATAACATTTAAATAAAAATACATTGTTGTTGTTTGTCTACGGTCACATTTTGTGCTCGTGACATGCATGATTCAAAATTAGAAGTTGTTACGAATTTATAACTCAACTAGCTGTGCCCCGCGGTTTCACCCGCGTTTTTTTCGTTTCCGTGGAAATACCGAGATAAAATATTGCCTATATTATAGCCTCCCTTAATAAATGGACTATTGAATATTTAAACAGTTTTCATATCAGATCAGTATTTCCCGAGATTACCGCGTTCATAACAAACAACCAAACTTTTCAGCTTTATAATATTAAGAAAAATATAGATTAAGTTAAATTGTATAAGTCGCAGGCAATAGCTGTCTGTCTGTTCGACATTCAGCCACATAAGAATTACGACTACAGGCGGGAGTGTCCGTCCACTTTAAACCGGGTTAAAATATTATTTTAAAGTACTTCTGAGTAAATTATATTTTTCGTTTTATTTTCTTGTGACAGAAGAATATATTGATTGTTTCCGCAACCTGATCTTGACAACGCGACATATAGTTGGCCGTGCGAAAAACAGTCTTGCCGTAAATCTAATCCTACATATTTAAATGTTTGCCCCTGTGATTTATTTATCGTTACGGCAAAAGATAATTTAATTGGGAATTGGACTCTTTTAAAATGAAAAGGCAAATCATTTGGAATTATTGGGATCCGAGGTATAAGTACTGTTTGACCAACCGCTGGACCAGTCAAAACTGTTGCAACGATCACGTTATTGCGAAGAAATTTAACCTGAAGTCGAGTCCCGTTACATAAATTTGGTGGCTTAAGATTTCTAAGTAAAATAATTGGGGCACCAATTTTTAACTTGAGAGAATGTGGGGGGAGGCCACTCGGGTTTAAAGAATTAAGAAATTCCTGTGGATAATGGACTGCATCTTCTTGATCCATTACATTATCAATAGAAGTGTAGGTGACTATATCGCCTGGAAGTTTAGTTAAAATTAAATCGTTAATTTCGTCAACACTACTGTTTCTCGCCGCCAATATTGCTCGTTGACACATCCATTGATAATCTTTATTTTCTATTTCGACGATATCTGGGTAAACTTTTGATATTAAACTCTCAATGCTAGTCACTTTTTCTCCTAAATCTTGATCAATGGGTATTTTATTTACATAATGAGGAACTTTTCCGTCTCCAATTAAAAGTAACTTCAAAGGAAAATTTGTACTACCTCCCCCCAAATGTGCTCTCATGTTCGTAGATAGATTTAAGGTATGAACAAATTTCCATAATGGAGAACTTTTGAGGCAAGATTTTACAATGTCTGCTCTAGTTCCTCTTACTACTACTGGTAAAGTTTGCCGAAAATCCCCAGCAAACATGACAGTAATCCCACCCATGATTTTATCACAGCTTCTAATATCTCTAAGAGTCCTATCTAGAGCCTCTACGTGAGCTCTATGAATCATGGTACATTCATCCCAGATTATTAAAGTGACGTCTTGCAAAACTTTTCCTAAAGGGCCATTTTTACGAATAGAGCACACGCTATCTTTCTGTAACGAAACGGTTACGGGCAGTTTAAAAGTGGAATGAGCTGTGCGTCCACCAGCTAATAAAGTTGCAGCGATTCCTGATGACGCTACTGCCAAAGCTAGTTTTCCCTGAGACCTTACTTTTGCTAATATCAAATTAGTAATGAAAGTTTTGCCGGTTCCGCCTGGAGCATCCAAAAAAAATATTTTTCTCTCATTGAAATGAACACTGTGCATAACACTATTGTATGCCATCACCTGGTCATTAACTAACTTGGGTTCATTTACAGTAATATACTCATTTAATTCATTTACATCGTATGGCTTCCGCAACGCTATTTCTAAAGGATCCAAATTATGGTGTGTGTTATTCCTTTTTGTTGCAGGAAGCCCAAAATCAGTTAATGATTTATCACAAATCTCATGAATCTTATCTTCAATTATGATAAGTCATAGTCATATCCTGTGTCTCATTACGCATTCTGTATAATATATCTTGACACAAATCTTCCCGAAATTTGTTCCATAGCTGCAAGGGATCAGATGGTTGGCAAAATATGAGGATTATGGTAAATAATTCTCTTAATTTTGGAGCCGGCTCGGACATGACAGCATCTGACATAGTATTTTGCCAATGTTCATCTCCCTCCAGTAAACCTAATTTCTTGCAAGCTCCTTGATAAGTATTGAAAATAACACCATTTACTGTCCTTAGATGTTCAAATGACATTGGACCGCGAACATGATGCAGTAACATTCTTAAATAGTAACATTCAGTTTGTGTCGGATGAATGTTGTAGACACGACCTAAAGTTGAGTCTTTTTTTATACCGGGATATCCTTCAACATCTTGTCCACGTCTTCTTCTAGAAAATGAATTTCTTTCCCATACGTAATACTGGGGTACTTCGCGATATAAAAGGGTTTTGGCAAAATCGTCTCTTTTCCAAAGATCAAAGAACGCTGTAAGTGTCGTTGATGAAGGATTGTTGACGCGATCTTGAAGATTTTCATTATTATAAAAATAAACTCTTTGTCCATTTTCTAAATGAACTGCTAAATGAACTATTGCCGGAAAACGTTCATGAATCGGAAATTGGAAAATTCTCCAGAGTGCTTCCGAGGAACTTATATAGCGACCATTTAAATATTTTTCTACTTCATCGTTATTATATTGTAACGAAAATGTGGCTTGATCAGAACCTTTATGGATATACTTACAGATGTACTTAATGGCTTTGACCGATTGGCAAAACTCTACGTTAATGTGTGCATTGAAACTTCGCGATAGCACAGGGTTATAGGGAACAACCCATCTATTATCCACTCTCATTTCTGTACCTTTGACACGAATTATTGCGGTGTTTCCACTATTATCTGGTGAACGGCGCTTGTAGGTTGGGTAACCGTCATCCCCGGTTTGTGTTTCAGAAATAAACTGCCTGGGGTATTTTTTAGAGCAAATGTTTTCTTTCATACATGGTGACGCAGGATTGTGAAATCCGCAAGGACCATGTATCATATTTTTTATGACAATGTTATAAAGCATTGGGTCTTGTTGTTTGTCAGGTATTTCAGCCGATATTATTGCATCTATGGAATCCGGTTGCACTTTGTTAGCCAGCCACAACAAAATGTGAGCGTGAGGTAAACCTCTTTTTTGCCATTCTACACTATAAACGAAGGCTTTCGATGGTCCAAATATATTTTTCTTCGTTAATAGGTCTATCATTTTTTTTAGTTTTAAATGAAATACTCTAGAAATCAAATCATGTCTGTCGTAAGAATTTTGATCGGGTAGTAACTCAATTTTTATTTATGGCCATTCGGAGTTACATGTGAATGTTATAAAGAGATCTGGTCTTCCAAATTTCCTAACATAGATCATGGCATCTTGACTTTTTTCATTCATGTATCTAGGAGATACTGTAAATGACGATGGCAATATAACGTGTTGGCCAACATTAGAAGCGTCTACATTGCCATCATTAACTACGGCATCTCTTAAATGAATGTACTCTTCTGCTCTTAATTTTTTTTGATTTCTTTTTATGAAGTCAAGTCTCTCAGAAATCATTTTTGCCGCCATATCAACACAGTATTGATTAAATAATCCTTTGAAATAATGTATGCTGTTAAAGTCATTTATTCTCACCATGAGTCTAAATGCATAAAACTGCATACATGATATAGTTTTAGATCTAGCAGCAGTATTTTGCTGTGGAATATTTATACAATATCCGTCATTTCCAAAGGGAAACAGTAAAGGATATTGAAGTGGGTCATAAGATCTATGTATTTCAGAAACTTGCTGAAGGCGCCCGTCTCTGGTATTTAACACTATATCTCGGGGACCTTTGTCTTCATCTATTAAAAGAACAGCTACTTCATCTACCATGGGCGCGTTATATCGACCTCGATGTTCATTAGGAGGTTTCACATCAGCATGAATGATAAGTTTAAAATCATTCGTTGGTCTGTTTTCGAGATTATATTTAAAACTTTGAATATAAGTATTGTGATCGTGAAGATATGTTTGGAGAGCCTCGATAAGATCGGTTTTTAACGTTGGGTTTAAATTTGAGCGTAAAGATACCTGATCTGTATGGGAAATAAAATATATTTGCAAAAATTCGGGTTGTGCGCCTTCAGGTGGAAGTAAATTACCGATTAGATGGTAAACTTGCCCCTGGACTTTAAAAGTGGGCATAAATTTTCCTTCACGAATTTCTTTAGCACCAAATGAAGTCATCTGAAACAGAGTATTATATTGTCTAGAGTGATTTAAAAAATGCTTAGAAGATGGATGTGAGCCTGATATTAGATCTTTAAGAATTGATGTTGGTGCTGGAATTTTAGGAATATTTACTTTGCCACCACTACAACACAGTCCAGGAGCTTCAGCCGGCCATTTTTTGCTTGACATGAATTACATATTTTATTCATTCTGCAAATATTAGTACCATTTAGCTCAGCATAGTCAAGGGTATAATCATAAGCAAATGCTGAATTCAATAAATTATATTGCCTGCGAGTTCTGTTCCCTGCTGTTCGTGCATTTTGCTGTGCTAATCGATGGGAACGTTCAGCACTTGATTCCCGTTCCCGGTTTGCCGAAGTGCGTGAATTCTGTGTAGCTAAACGTTGAGAACGTTCAGCGCTTGATTCCCGTTGCCGGTTTGCCAAAGTGCGGGAATTCTGTGTAGCTAAACGTTGAGAACGTTCAGCGCTTGATTCCCGCTCGCGATTTGCCGAAGTTCGGGAATTTTGTGCGGCTAAACGTTGAGAACGTTCAGCACTTGATTCCCGTTGTCGATTCGCCGAAGTACGGATATTTTATGAGACTAACCGCTGCGAACGTTCAACACTCGATTCCCTAAAACGGTTTTGTTCACTGATCGCTCGTTGAGTAGCCAACCTGTGCAGATTTTCTTCGGGTGTTTCATTGCTGCGTAGAAGTCGCAATCGCTTTGCAGTAGCAGTCTGCCTAGAAAGCTGAGTTCTTTTTCTAGGCATAATAGTAAAGAGATAAAAGAAAAACCGTATAAAATTAAAACTTAATTAAAATAAACTGAAACGTAGCAATCAGGTAAAAGAAACGTAAGGTGAGTAATTATTAAAAGTCGTATGAAATATATGTCAAAGGAACGATCGTAAATGACTTCAAAAAACACAACGCTGCATTCAACCGTTCCGTAGGGAGCCGACCACGCGTCTGAGCCGCGCGGCATGGTACCTTGTAAACCAAAACACGCGGGCGGCGCGGCGGGGGGGGGGGAGCGACAGGCGGCCAGCAAGCGCGGCCTCCTCGTCTCGCCCGCCGCCGCGCCGCCAGCGTCTCGTCTTGCTTGCATCAAGCGCGCGTGGATTTCCTTAGCAGAGTTATTTTAGAAATGTATTTATTATACTCTTCAAAGATCTTATACTTACAATCAATATATTTTGAAAAAGATTATTACAGGATTTTATGTTGATAAAAAACTCTATGGTCCATAACTCATTAATAGGTACCAACTCTTAACATCTTACACACGTGATAACTTTTAAACGAAATATCCGATTGAGATGAAACAAAAAGTATTTTACCTCTACATAAATACTCTTGATAAAATAATGCTTAATTTCGATAAAGATTAATATTACGATACATATTTCACGTAGTTTCTTTTTCTTCACACGATTTAATAATTAATTTGCACACAAAATCGGTTATTGTGATTAAACCATGACAGCTAGATACACTTTCTCGCGGACTTTTTTGTAGGTCTTAATGGGGATCTACAAACCCGTAGTACATCATTTTGTTTTATTGTCAATAGTTTTTGCAGCGCACGCAAAAATAGGTTTTCGATTTTACACCTTGTGTTACAAAATAGCAATTTTATTACGGATCCCTAATTTTGAAAAAAGAAAATATAGCCTATAGCCTTCCTCGATAAATGGACTACCCAACACTTAAAGAATCATTCAAATCGGACCAGTAGTTCCAGAGATTAGCGCGTTTAAACAAACAAACAAACAAACAAACACTGCAGCTTTATAATATTAGTATAGATTACAGTCTACAATACTAATAAGTATTAATCGATATAAATATATTGAATAGTGTACCGACACATAGATTTTGTATCTATACAGAGTTATATTTTAATATCTGGCCAAATTTGCAGAGAAAGATCAGAATATGTAATATAGGCAAATGGTGAAAAAAAGAGAATAAAAAAAATCTCAAACATTCTGTCCTTTTTATCTTTTAAATTCAAAATGCGTAATAATGCATTTTTTTACCGATTGTCATTCATAAATATCTAACGTTTACAATTTTACTATGCACTCACACATTTCCAAGGGTCGGCAAAAACGTTGTGAATTGCATCGCAGAGTGCGCGTACGAGTTGTTAGCCATAAATCACATTCAATTTATTTTAAATAAAATTAGAAGCCTTATTTATTCGTATTTTCAAAAATGTAATGACGGTAAATAATTATTGGAACGAAGTTCCTTATCGGACGATACGGGTTTAGTGGATGGGAGCTAGGTGACAAAAAGTGTAAGATTTTGTCGTCGCTACCCTTTGTGTCATAGTGTATTTTATATTAAATGTCGCTTCATTTTAATAGACGCTAATAAATAATTTATTTATATTTATTAATCAATAATATAATACGTTTATCAATAATAATATAATATGAAAGGAACTTCGTTCCAACCGAGTGTTCCACGACACTCACGCATGTTTTTTTTATATATATTTGAATTTAATTTTAAAATTTGGCTACTCTATGAAAAAATACCCTGTGTAATTATAATTTGTATCGCCACACCTTTTAGTTTGAAGTAGTAGCTCACAAGGGATCAAAAGTATCAAAGGGACTCAGGAGTCTTACTACAAAGTGTTTACAAAACAAGAGAATTTCAAGTAGTTCAGTTTCTGACCTTAAACTGAAATACATTACTTGGTACCTATGAGCTACACTTACCTCAACTGTTTTATACCTGTATATTTATTGGCTTGCGACGGCTTTGCTCAAGGGTCTTTGTCTTATTTTGACTTAAATTTTCGAGTGGGAGAACGTTATTATTATTATCACATAATGTATAACGTATATAACATAATATATATATATATATATATATATATATATATATATATATATATATAAGTTTATCTCTTAAATTTTAAGGACGGTTTCATTTACAATATGGAAATATACGTTTAAGATATTAAAACAAATAACTAATCAGTCCTCTCGATTCGAACCGAAATACAATGTCGTTAGCTAAATTTTAGTGGCATTTTACATGTAGGTGTGATATTCATCGCCTTTAATGAAAATACTATTTTACCGCTTTCATGGCATATATGTCTTACAAAAAATCGTGGATACTTCACGACTTCTGTAAATTGCATAGTAGGTAACTAGTAATACTGTAAATGCGCATTATAGGTATTGAATTCACCCAAAGCCTAAATGGCACAGCAATGGAAGTAGTCGGTATAACAAATAAACCGAAAGAGAAAGGCGAGTGTTATGGAACATATTACTATCATGAAATTGAGTTTGGGTACCAAGATACTACCATTAAATTGGAGTTTGGGTACTAAGATACCACCATTAAATTGGAGTTTGGGTACTAAGATACCACCATTAAATTGGAGTTTGGGTACTAAGATACCACCATTAAATTGGAGTTTGGGTACTAAGATACCACCATTAAATTGGAGTTTGGGTACTAAGGTACTACCATTAAATTGGAGTTTGGGTACTAAGGTAGGTACCACCATTAAATTGGACTTTGTGTACTAAGTTACTACCATTAAATTGGACTTTGGGTGCTAAGTACTACCATCAAATTGGACTTAGGGTACTAAGTTACTACCATTAAATTGGACTTTGGGTACTAAGTTACTACCATTAAATTGGACTTTGGGTACTAAGTTACTACCATTCAATTGGACATTGGGTACTAAGTTACTACCATTAAATTGGACTATGGGTACTAAGTTACTACCATTAAATTGGACTTTGGGTATTAAAATACCAGCATTAAATTGGAAATAAATATATAAGAAACTGTTTCAGTTTGCCCCTAAAATAATAATAATAATGATACCGTTATCAACTTTAATGTGATAGTACATCTATGGCTATAAGGTGTGAAAAATGGAAAAGGTCTCTACTAATCTATCTGGACGCAGCTGAAGTTATATCAGCACTCAAAAAACGAGCTATGCTATTGCATTTTGGTTGCTCTGGCATACAAGAAATATTCTACAATTTACCGGGTGCCAATGTCGAATCATCAGAAACCGTTGATGTATTTAAAGTAGCCATAAAAAACTCCACAAGTATTTTCAACCTAAACGGAGCAAAGTTTATGAAAACAGGAAAAAGGAGAAAAATTTGAGAAGTTTTTGATAAGATTGCGTCATCAGGCTGAAAAGTGTGCATTCGAAAAGCAAGATGATCATCTCATAGATCAAATTGCGGAAAAGTGTAATTCAAAATTGCGGAAGAACCTTATATCTTAGAAAACGTGGGAAGAGTTAAAAAAGCAAAAAAGTATATGCTTTTAATCAAATGTAAAGACCAGACAAGACATTATTAGTATATGGTAGTAACTCTCCTTTGGCAACAGAGGGTTCATTTGAAACTACACTCGAAGTCGATGGACGAAAGGAACATACAACCATTTACGTGATTTCGGGGGGTACTAGAGACCTGTTGGGTAAGAACACAGCAGTCCGTCTGGGTGTCTTAAAACTTGGTATCGGGATAAATCAAGTGGAGAGTACCGATCCCCATTAAAGAGAAGGTTGCAATCAAAATTAAGGAATCACTAAACAGTGATATAATTGAAGAAGTGCAAGGCCCGTCTAAATGGGTTTCACCAATGTTCCAATCATGAAAGAAAATGGTGAATTACGTTTGTGCGTAGATATGAGATGTACGAACGCCGCTATATTGCGAGAAAAACCACCCCCTGCCTATTATGGACCATTTTTGCCTAAAATGAAGAAAGCTAAATATTTTAACAAATTAGACATAAAAAATGCCTTCCATCAAGTGGAAATTCACTCTGAATCCAGACACATAACGACTTTTATAACCCCCAAAAAATTATATAGATATAAAAGAATAATTCTTGGAATTACCTGCGCTCCGAGATTTTTCAAAAGATCATTGAAAGGATGCTGATAAACTGTGAAGGGGTCGTCAATTTTATTGATGATATCCTGGTATTCGGGAACAGTGAAGAAGAACATGACGCATGACTAAAGAAAGTTCTACAGGTACTTATTAAAAACAACGCCGTGCTGAATAGCAATAAATGCATATATAAAACGCAGGATGTGAATTTTCTGGGACACAGGCTTACCCATGAAGGAGTAAACCCTTCAACAAGTACGTTCAGAGCATTATGAAATTTAGGGTCCTCAAGACCATAGAAGAACTCCAAAGTTTTTTAGGACTCTTAAACTACATAAACAAATGGATACCTAACTTGGCCGCCATGACAGAACTTCTGAAGCACCTGCTAAGACAGAAGATGAGCAAAAGGAAGAGCTTGGAAAAACAATGGTCTGGGGAACAAGATAAAGCATTCCAAAAACTTAAACGGATGCTCAAGGAAATACAGATTTTAGGGTATTATGACGTCCCCTAGGGGCAAACAAGACGGCGGCGAGGCCGGCAACGGCTTCTTACGCGACGGCCACGGCTGCCGCATCCATCCAGGCCGGGGCCGTCCAGCCAGCCCTCGGGTGGGGCTGCAGTTGCCCCTCCCCCCCCTGAAAAGCCGGCTCCGGCAAAACCGATACCGGCTGAACCAGCTCCGGCTAAGCCGGCGACGGGAAAGAGAGGCAAGGCGAAGGCGAAAAAGGGCAAGGCGGCAGCACAGGTGATGGCTGCACCAGCCCCAGTGCCTGCGGCGAATGGGCCAGCGCCAGAGGCAAGCCAGCTGCCGCCCCCGCCACCGCCCCCCCAGATCCCTACACCTCCCGCGGCAGAAGCCGGTTGGCAGGTGGTCGGGGACAAACAGAAGGGGAAGAAGGCAGCCAAAAAGAGCAGGAGCGGCAGCGCCAGTTCAGGGCGCGCAAGATCGCGGCTAGGCTCCGCGCCCCGAAGACCGCAGCTGTAGTGATTACACTACAGCCGGACGCGGAAAAGAAGGGCGTTACCTACCGCGATCTGCTCGCGAAGGCGAAAGAGGCGGTGGATCTCGGGGAGCTCGGGATCACTGGGGGCCTCCGGCTCAAAGTCACCCAGACGGGGGCCCGTATGCTGGAGATCCCCGGGGAATCCAGTGGCGCGACTGCGGACGCTCTGTCTGCGAAGCTCAGAGCGTCCCTGAACGCGGACGAGGCCC